TCATATTATATTCCCTCCGTTCCACATAAATTGATGTTTTGGCTATTTAACACAAATTAAGAAACAATTAATTTTAATCTATTAAATGCATTGTTTTTTAACATTAAATGTTTTATAATACCTATTGACTAATCATAATTTAGAATTTAAATACTTTTAATCAATATTTTCTTGAAGTTTGCAATTTGTTAACATTAATTAACAAAAAGTACATTTAATAATCTGAAACATCAATCTTTATGGGAAAAAAATCCTAAAACATCAATCTACGTGGAACGGCTCCGTTCCACGTAACTATGATATATGATCATTATTATTGTTTTCTTGATAAAACAAAAGGAGGAAAACGAAACTACGTTTTTTCTCCCTCTTAATCGAAAAAGAGCAAAAATTATATAGGTGACTTCTGTTTTCAAAGAAGCATTCTCTCTTTGTAGTTCGTCGAATCTTTCTCTCAGCTCATTGATCTCACCAGAAGATAGTCTTTATCTCATCTCCTTCAATCACCTTTGCCCTACGTGGCACGTCACTCATATATGTTTTCCCATTATTATTATTCAGTAGACAAGTCGAGAAAGATAAAGAAAAGAATAACAGTGAGAAGATCTATCATCCCATGTAGTTGCTAACAAATATATTGAGATTGAGGCGAATGCTAGCATTGTGGTCACGACAGTTGCGTCTACCATTGTCCCCAAATCTGTTGACTCAAACACTATCTCAATTCATGCTTCACGTATAGAAGTATCTCCTAAGACCATCTCCAATGTGTTGCTTTATTTTTATCTATATAATTATATATAAGTGCGAAATCCTACGTGGCGCCCTCATAATGAATTTGAGGGTGGTTGATTACAGGGGTACCCTCACTACAAGAAAATAGGCAAATTTCCGACGAAAATTCCGACGGCAAAGATTTCCGTCGGAATTTTCCGACGGCTTACCGACGCATTTGCGACTAACATTTAGTCCGTCAGAAATCCGTCGCAAAATTCCGACGGAATACCGACGG